AACTTAACCTGAAGGTGTCTATGCTTCTGGTGGAATATTTCCATCTTGACACAACTGTTGTCGTGTCTCTGTCCAACACAGAACAAGATGACAGTTGTCCCAGACTGGAATATTCCACGAGTAACCAGTTCCGTGCCATGTTCAAATGCCACGCCTACTCTGGCTCAGGGATAAGGAGTAAGTACGATCGTGACGCCATGTGCTCCTCGTACAACGCATTTTCGCCGTAACACCGCAACGTGGATATCCCAATTCGGCATCCTCCTTGACCACTTTCTAGCTCACTGGTTTCATTCACTCTTCGTTCGATGGCTGCTTGTTTACAAGAGCAGTTCTTCGAAACTAAAGAAAGACCTGGCGTTCTGGATATTCAGTGTAACGGTTTATCGTTGTGATTATCACATTCTCGTCGATTTCTGACTATATGGTATAATTAACTATGGCATAGATAGAATCGTATTGATTTGGTGTGAAGTTGGACCGTGCGGCTAAAAAGCCGACGTGGCTGCTCCCTGATTGTCAAAGTAGATCTCGTCCGGTGCCAGGTTTCGTGGAACTCGTACCCGCGGCTTTTCTCGTCCTCCAAGAGCGACCTGAATCACTGGTGGTAAACATTCCTACTTATAGTTCTACTCGAAAAATTTTAATTTTTACTTATAGTGGACATGGATTGCGCCATCTCATTACCTAATGGAAGCTTTCAGTTCCTTTTCCTCGAGCTTACCTCAAAACCCAGTTCACCAAATTCTTTCGTGTACAGTTTTATTCCCCGTGGATGCTGGGGCGTGTCAAAGGAGCGAGGGGTTGGCGAGGCGCCAGCCCGTTCCTCATCATTTGTGGAAGCCAGTAAACGATTACAGTACACTGAAAACGAGCTGGCCCCACGCCAAACCCAGCCTCCACCGCCCAAGCATCCACAGCGAAAAAGACCACATATGGTGGATAAGCCCAGTACGCAGAATTATACCACTTCACCGTTTGATTTTGGGGTGACAAGGAGAAGCGCAGAGAAGTTGGCTTCTAAGGTATCCTCATTGGCCATTAGCAAATGTCGCGGGAACTAAAAGTCTTGACTGACTACTCCCTCCAGTTCTTCATCCATTCGACGTACTCGCCGTCTATACTTCTTCATCTTGGCCGCTTGCGTATGCCCTGACGAAGCTTCAAAATCAATTGCAGAAAATGAGGGCCGTATTTTCGGATTACTGTCGTATTTTTCCTGCATTTTCTCTCGTGAGGAAGGGCCCTGCGCACTTAAGAATTTATACGTGGGCCGTCTCTCGGAGCATGTGCTGTCGCTGGGGAGAATTTTTGCAATATACAAGCCCCCCCCCATGGGCATAACACACTCCCACCCCCCCCCTTTCGATGGAAGCCTTTCAGCGATGTAGATATTGCAAGCGAAACAGGAACAATCAACGATCAAAAAGAATTCGCCGGCCAATTGCGTCCCCCCTCCCCCCCCCCCCCCTTCAGCGAATAAATGCGATTCTCTCGGCGGCTCTGACCCTTCTGCCTTCATCCTATTTGATGCTCAGCAAACATGAGCGAAACCTTCCTTTACAAGCGAAAAGCTTCTACTTACACCTGGCTGTTATCGATCATTCAGTAAAGCCAAGGGATGGGAGACACCTAGCTCTCAGACTTCCTCTTTGTTGGAAGCCTTACCTCCAGGTCTATATCCGGATAAATCAAATCAATTTGTGCAAATCGTTGGTTTGCCAGCAGTTCTTTTGAGAGAATTCTTGCGTTTAGATCGCTGTGCTCATACCAATGATGTCGAATCTCTGCAAAATATAACGCCTCTGATATCTTACAATAAAATTAAAAAATCGAAAATCCCAAGGCGGAGGTGATACAGCGATAAGGTGACTGTATTACTGTTTTTAATAATGCGAACCTCCGTTTCTATCCTTTACTGAGATTTTTATTTTTGCATATTCAATATCAGAGAATCGGACTAGCAAAACCGATCGTGGCACACATCGTAGAAGATTTTCGGCGTCCTCCTTTGCTGCAGAAGCCGTAAATTAGCCTGAAATGAATTTTTCTACAATTTTCTCTCAAAATTATCTTAATTGCACTTTGTAAATAATATGTAGATAATTTTTTCTAGACTCTCAAGATATTTCCAGAAAGGTGGACATTTTGGTTTCCTTGTTTTAGCACTGTGTAGTATTTTCATGAACAGCCTATGCTCCTCTTATCGGCGGCGGTCCATTGTCCTACTCCGTCACTGGTGCAATCGCTCTTTCTAAGACGGTAGAGGAGGTATGCGTCAAAGGGAAAGACAGGAATTGACCTGACTCCGCCCATACGATAAGCGTGGACTGCTTCTTGAAAGTTTGAAATAGTTGTAATACACTGATTCACCTACCCATTATACCACATACTATACAGATATTTGTTGACAATCTCAGCCAATCTGAAGAACCATTCGAAAAATGGCACCAGTTTCCATTCGCCTTCGGTTGTGGAGTTTTTTCGCAGCTGATACTCCTCTGCGACAGGTAACTGCAAAATGACTGAGATAGTTATTTACTTGACTTGGAATTTGAGTTATTGTTTCTGTTCCATACTGCAAGGAAATTTCGGTGCCGATCGGTTAGGCGGAGTGGGCTTCCAGTGCAATACTCCTGGGCCAGTCATGAAACTGAAGCGCAGGAGACACACCGTGGCCCAGGAAGGTGTGCTGTGGTGCCTGGCTGAAGGCACACTATGCTATAGTTGACTGGCGGAGAAGCGGGCAGACGCGCGCAATTATTGTGACTGGCGCTCTCCTCTCATCACAGTACCGGAAAAAGCGGATGACAGAGGGGTTGCGAGCCCACCCATCGATTATCGTGGAATAACCCCGATCATGGAATAACCCTAAGCGAAAAAACACTGGCTGCTACTTTGAAGGTCGTTTCATCGAAATCGCAGTGGGAATCGCAAAGCACATTGCCTTTTTGACTATTTATCGCATATTTTTATTTTTTAGGCAATTCCTTACCACGTAATGGGGACATCCCATTGGTGCAAGAGAAATTGTTTAAAGACCAGTATGGAGGTTCCTTTTTCTTCAGCTTAGGTTCGTCGATTTTCGAGGTGAATGAATGGGACGCTCCCTGCTGATCAACAAGCAAAATCCCATAGACTTTAGCGCGTTTCTCATATATGCACTAGTTTTGAAAGCAGAGCTCCATAAAAGAGTCCCTCCATGATCAGCGTGATATAAGCCTCCAAATGGATTCAATTTTGAACTCTCCGAACTGAGTACCATCCAGTGAAACCCAGCCTCAACCCCTTGGGATCGAGATGGTATGTCACATGTGAAGCCTGTCTGAGCAGTAGCTCAGATTGATCGGAAGCTTTTCAGGCCCAAGTGTCCCCAGCCAGCTCTCGAGCACACATCTCCGTGGCATCGACTGGGATTTGAAGGCATGGTGCGTCCTGGAGAAAATTTCTTGAAACTAACTTCCAGTACTTTGCGCGGGTGGACAAAGAGAATAAAAATTCCATATAAGTTTGGCCGATTATTAGGGTTACCTTCATGAAGTTGTCCAATGCAATGAAGCCTTGCTGTGTAGGTTTGAGGCGATTCACCAGATGCTGTTTGGCCTGTAATTTATATGGAATGAATAAAATATCAAATCAATATGCACAAAAAGCAGTTTGCTGCTGACCAGTCATTTTTTAGGACCGTGATTCACTGAATGGGGTAAGTACCGTGCGATGACGTGCGGGACCCAGCCGATGTCGGAGTAATTGGTTTTATTCTCTCAGAGAAATCCGATACCAATTTCCTCCTCCGAGAAAACGGGATTTGGTTGACCTGGGGGGGGGGGGGGGTAACTGATACGCGATTTGACGCAGGGAACCCCCATAGCGCTTGGTAATCGTACCACTTGTTGCTACACCTCTTCCGCTCACTAACAAGTAAACAAGTAAATAGTGAAATATGATGAGCAAATAAAGCAAAATATGAAGAAAGCAAAGATGCAGCTGCAAAAAAAGAAAATATGAACAGGAATCGAAGAGATTAACTCTGTTCACCTGCATGCTGAACATCCGAGGCTGTACAACGGCTGGACCGTCTGAGTTCTTCTGGGGCGTCTCCACTATGGCCTTAATAATTCACGCTGGATAAGCTTACCGAATGCATTTATTAAAAAGATGAACATTATGTGAATAAAAAGGTAACGGTACGGTAACTATAAAGATAACCGTAGTAAACTTGAATCACCTGAAACTTCATTTCCAGCGCATCAGCCATTTCAGTGCAAGAAACATGTGCTGGAATATCTGAGAGTGGATGCCGAACCTATAATGGAAGATTAAACCAAATTTGTGACCTGGATAGCCAAACTGAATTCCGCTCAGGCCAATTAAGCTTTTCATTCTAGTTTCATAGTGAATTTTCATAGACACATTCTATGATTTTAGGGTGTAGGCAGTGGGACGGAAAAAGCAATAGTATAATACATGCGCCAGTTGGCCTACCCGTAGGAAAAAGTCTACCTTACACCCTGTGTACGCCAAATAAGGCCCTACTCAGCGCAGACGACCCTACGAGAGGGACGCGTTTTCGCTGAGAGAGACTAAATATTAAGGGCGAGAGAGTAAACAAACAAGCAAGACGACGGACACCAGCACGAGGCGGAGTCACTTGCGCTCAGTGGACCTCTTGTGCAACCTTGACCCTTCCCGTCCTTCGTGGGCACTTCATACGTGCGCAACCCCTACGGGGAGTAGGGGTCGTAAGTCTTATTTGGTCGCTGGACAGAGGGAGTGGTCGTATTCGCCTCTGCCAAAAATTTTTTGGTTGCCGAATTTTTTTCGGTTTTTCCTGTTTCACGTGCCCTGTGTATCCCTCACCTTTCCCCTCTCACGACTGCTCAACCGCACTTTTTTTTGAAAGAAAATTGCGGGCGAAAGTTGGGCAAAAAAAAAATTTTGCGGAAAAAGTGCGTAAAGGTGTGAAAATAATTCAGTATTTTGCAAAATTTCTCCCCAGTGGCGAATGTGGTACAACGTTATCCATCGTGACCCATGCTACGTTCGCCCAAATAGAACGTTCTTTATACGAGTAACCATGAAATGGTCCTGTGCCTCTGCATAAAACAGAGGAAATACAAACCAAGCCCTGCTACGACTCGGAACTATAGCTCAATGAGTGGCGCACCCCAAATGGGACTGATAGACTATTTGAACTACTATGGATTCTATCTTTTAGGGAACGTCAACTCGCTCAGCGTTTCGGGTGAGTTGGAGAGTTTGCTAATGAGTTCTATTGAACAAATCTACTGCTATCCAATCCTTTTTAAGGATTCGCCGACTTTCCTGTAATTCGATTAACCCTCATCTAGTTCTAAGATCCTCGGGCTGCCCAGTTGAGCGGTGTTCGATCAACTGATTTGCATTCTAACCTTTCGCAAATTGCCAAAATGTCCCTAAAGCGATTCCACAGAAAGTTGTGTAACGCGGGAATTCTCCCCAATCAAACGAGTGAACGCTCATTTCATAGGCAGTAACAGTACTTCTGCAGCGTTTAATTTGCTGGAAATGTACCTGGGCGCTGGAAGATTGGTTAGTCTACCTGTTAAACTACCACCTGACTAGATTTTATCACCCGACGTTGTCACATGGACAGTGTCTCAACGGTACACGCAAGCAAACGCGATAAATTGGTGAACGGACAAGGTCAGCGAATGGTTTTTGGCACTCAGCCGTGTTGACTAACTTGCACTCAAGTAGAATAGGTGCAAATTGCAGAAAAAAGTCATTGAGAGCACTGTTGATAGGCTTCACTTACTGGTAGGGTATATTGTCGTTGTGTAAAACAGAAGGAGAGGGGGGTTGTATTCAGCCGCTTGGGAAGGGGTTGTGCTCGGGTGGCCGGCTGGTTGACCGCGTGGCTTCTGATACCTCATAAAAGGATAAAGTCTTCGCCGTTAATCAATCCCTTTGTGGGATGCGGCACGCATTCTACTTCCATTCAGAATCGTAGTGGCTTATTGAATGCGATGTGGCCTATACAATGACTTGCGGTGGCCAGCCGATGTACAAGTCAGTGTTTTATCCTCCCAGACGAATCTGGTACCAATTCACCGTCCCCGGAGGGTAGAAGGCTTGGTTGGCCTGGGCGGGAAGTCGACCCGGGATTTGAACCCAGGACCGCGCCACTTGTCGCTACACCACCTTCTGCTCCTGATACCTCATAGGAGGTGATTATCGTACCTACCCAAACAACATTCATTTAGAAAAAAAAGAGGGCAACATTCCATAGCGTCGCAGTCCGAGACAGTGTCAGGAGGCGTGGAATGAGCCCACACATGGCTGCGTTGGCCACCAGTTGGAGCCGGCCCAAGAGGAAAACAACATTGGTAGAAAAGTGGCTGGGATCATTTAATGGCTCCTGGCACCGTCTCGACAGATTGCGACAATATTATCAAAGACTGTGGAAGGGAGGGGGTCATACCGGGAAAAAACAAGAGGAGGGTCATATTAGTGTAGTTGGAGAATGGTTCCAACGACATGATAAAGTAAGTCACCGGCCAGATATCCAATACTTTCACATTATGTCGGCAAAAACTGTTTAGGATGCGCCACGCCTTCAATTTCTTTTCGAAATAGTAGTGGTATTCGAACCCGTATCTGGACGCGTACTGCTTAGCCTTGTTCAGAAGGTTCTGATCTAAGAGTGCATTGGTATAGATTGCATGAATGCTCACTACGGCAGATTCAGCTAAACGACTCTCTAGAAAAGCCGTTGCTCGACGTCCGTTGGGACGGAACAAGAACGGCGAATGGATAGTGAATACCTGAAATCATAGTGTTGAAATTTAGGAGTGGTTATAGAAACGCTACGAGAATAATTCTGGCCGTGTAGCGGCAATTATCTGCAAAGCAAGAGGATGCGTGAGGAGGCGTGAGTTGTAGAGCAGCCGGGGTGGCCTCTTGCACCAATCGATGCTATCCTGAGCTCGCCACAATTGGTGAAAAAGGCTGCTCTGACTGCAGGGCACGCCATCGTTGTGATCATCACAAGGGGGGGGGGGTCGTAATTTTGACCCGGCGAGGGAGGGGGGGGGTCGTATCTGGACCAGAGGATTTTTTATAGTTGATTGTTCTCTTGTTTTACCGGACGCCTGTAAGGGGGGAGGGGGGGAGGTCGTCCTTGGTCAGTTCATGGACGCACTACTACTTCCGACACTTGAAAATGATAGTTTAATTCCGACGACCTCCCCTCTCGATTTTGGGGAAAAAAGTGGTTACTCTGCGCCCCCCCCCCCCTCCGCTCGATGGCTCGTTCCGATTGACGAAGGACAGAGGGCTGAGAAGGGGTGTCGTACCAAGCCTCCCTAAGGGGGGGGGGGTCGTGTTTTAGTATGGAATTAGGGGGGAGGTCGTAATTCTCAGAAAATGATCACAACGCGATGGCGTGCGCTGTCTGACCGTTGCTCCACTCACTTCCTCATGCGCCCTCTCCTTTGCAGCAATAATGACTGCAACTTGCAGCACGACAGGTACACTACCGCTCGAAGTATTGACGCTAGATAAGAGAAAAAATAAAAAAATAAATAACAAGTAATAAACGCTGCAAAGAAATGGAAACGGTAGCCTCAAACGAAGAAAAACGCAAAAACATCAAGCTGTTTTACCCACTCTTCTTCGCTACTAGTTCCAACCACAGTTTGTTTTTCACGTCGAATACCTGTAACAGAGGCGGTATCCGCTTTGATGCTACACGAATCCCGTTCGAAGTTGAGCCTTCTTAGCGACGCGCTGGAAGACAACGTAAGATAAACTGAAACCAAAAATGTGATCCGAATGTTTTGCCTCTCTCATTGATTATCAAGAGGTGCCCTACCTGACAGACGCTAAAACCGGCAGGCGATCATGGAAAAAGAGGCTTGGAGTCGCTGCAGAACTCATCACTATTTGTACTCAATAACTTTGTGTTCCGCGCGATATGACGCAACAAACGCCAGCCACGAAACTTTCTATAACAAACGTGGCTAGCTGCCACGAACTGTGATACTATGGTGCTCATCATTGCAGACCGGTGGGGCGGTGCGTGTGACTCGGCTGTGACGCGACTGTCATCGTTGCCGCGTCACAGCCGAGTCACACGCACCGCCCCACCGGTCTGCAATGATGAGGACGTGTACATTAGCAGTTATGGAACGCGCAAATGAGTCAGGCCATGACGACTCGTGCACAAAACAAAGAAAAAGTGATAGACGGCCGAACTCTCCACCTACTAAAGCTTCGATGACCTTAGCAGGAAACAATGCATAGTTTTTGGGAGAACCGCAATAAAAGAGAAATTAGTGAGATAGGTTACTAGGGAAAATACTTACCATGTCATCGAATTTCGCTCTCAATCCTCGAGTATCCTTCTTTTGAAATGCCGCCGATGGTGGTTCAATGCAAAATTCTTCAGACTCGAATCTGAAAATTCATCCCCTGCGCTCATAAACATCGGTTCAAAACTAATCAATAGTTTCTGGGAAGCAGGGACCAGATAACTTCTGTAAATACACATTTTGGTAATGGTGTGCTAATCTAGCTATAGATCTAGTCATGTTAGGAATCCAGCTTAGTTAAGGGTCGTTTGAAGCTGTTGAGTGAAACAATGAGTAGAACCAAAAGCAAGCGCGACACTGGGCGTCACAAAGCGACAACAGGCGACAATTTGAAGCAAGAATTTGAGTTCAAGCGTGAAGGTGGGGAATTTTTCTAGCTGATCACTACAACAAGCGAAACTCCTCGCCACCCACATACACCCTTTACAGGATATACCGCGTCCTATAAATTTCTGCTTGCTGGGTGGAAGATCATTGGGCTATTCATCTCATCGCGCTATTTCATTCTGCTGGCCTACAGATGGAGCTAGTTTTGATTGGGAGACAAGCACAGCATGTTCTGCTGCTGCGGAAAATTTTTGCAAAATGCTACTCTCCCCCGGAATGATCCCTATGGTACGATCCTCTTCCTTTTCCGAGCTCCCACACTACTTAAGATCTTCCTCAATTTCCCCAACTTACCATCTCTTTTCTTAAGCAAAAAAAAAAACTGGTAGAGTACAACTCTCCTCGCTGGGGATTTCCAGCCTACCATGTGCTCTGGGAACAAGGTCACGACCATAATCCGCTTGTTTGTGTCCTCCCAGTGGAATAGTGTCTGCTGAAGATTGATTTTACCGGTGATGGCGTAGACCAGTAAAGCCCAGGGGTGTTTCTGTTCCACCAACTGCCCTCTAAATGGTGTTCTAGAAAAGTCTCGTTAAAGAGTGATATACGCTCATTATGACCCCACGACGACATCTCTGGGAAGGTCGAAAACTCCCCTTTTCGAAAAGAATTTTTGTTGCACGCTTGACCCTGATGAAGTTGAAGAAATCGTGCTATTCACGCGACAACAAGCGATTTCCGAAGTGTCGATGGTAGCGGTAAACATCGAGAGCCCAGCGATGACAACAAGCGACGTCCAGCGACAATAGATTTGAAGCGGCGCGAACCGGGAACTCTAGACATTGAAAGTGGGTTAAGAATGAGAGCTGAAACTTATCTATTATTAGTGACAAAGAACAACTTAGAACGAACATTTCCAAATAAGCGTTGTTCAGCAGTTGTTTCGCTGTGTCGTCCGTGATCAGGTAGCATTTCACTTCGGCTCCTTCACCAACTGCTTCCACACCAAAAGCCTGGCCGCCGAGTACCCTGAAAATGGCTTGGAATAATCTGTGGTATCAACGCACAACGGACAATATCCTTAAGGCTACTTCTTGTGTTCCCAGTAGCCAAAATAGCGAACCTAACGACCTACAGCCTCAAACCACTTTTATCAAGTTGACAACATTAAGACCTTATTTCGGTGTTGAACCAAAATCGACTCCGCCGATGATTTTCCGCTTCGCCGCATTTGACGACCACAGACGGCGGTTGCCGACTAACAATTACCGAATAGTAAAGGAAGTAATGTGCCATACTGCAGAAACGATTGTATGCCTGAAAATGGGAGGTAGAGTGTTAAGCATTCATTAAGAGACTTCAAACATTCCAGAAGCTCTAGCTCACGTTGACATTCTCTTTCCTATTTTCTTCCCCTTCCCCTTTACATCTGTTTTTTTCGATCAGAAATGAAGCGTTAATCATTCCAATCAACTGTACCTCATCAAATGAGGGACTGGGAAAGTATTGCTTCAAATAAGTGAGTCCTGACAATGTTTGCTGCAGCAGCTCGCCAAAGTACTCGAATCTGAACCGATAAACGTGTTTGCAAAGCAATCTTACTGCGCGAAACCGACCCCTCCCCCCCCCTATCTTGACATCACTGTAACTACAATAATTTCAGTTCAGCCCGGCCATTGCAGAAGCCGCGACACGAGGCAATGCTCCCACCGTCTCCAAACTCTTAGTCTGTCAAAGGATGGAGTCAAATCCGAAACTCTGGCTGGTATGTACACACTTCGCTATGCTTCGAATGATGGGCGTCCGCTCGGAGATCTGGTTTCGGCGCTCTTCGACTTTCGGCAGGCGACAACTGCCTTTATATCATCGAATCAAGTGTTCTGAACGCCTGGCGAGCGAGTCAAAGTAGGGCCGCTAGTGACACCCCATCCGCATCGACCAAGACTGTGGGTGAAAATGCACTCACTGTTCACCATGTACACTATAGAGGTGAACACTGAATCACAATTTCAAAAATCCTGATTTGAAATAAAGGAACCGTCCGGGTTCGTAAGGAAACAACGCCATTGATGTGCTCTTCTCCTTCTACATTGTACACTTTACAGCGTGAAAGGCGGGAGGCTCCTGGCTGGCCTATCTAGCCCTCCCGGAACTGTGTTTTTGGAACATCGAGTTGGACAGCTTACTAGTGAGGAGGTTTTTGGAAATGCTGCCTGCAATTGCTTTCTCTTTTAACGGCTGGTTCTTTAGGTGAGTAGAATGGAGAAATAAAGTATTGAGTAAATTATCATTCAAAGCGGAGAATCTGGCACTATTAAACTATTTATTACTACCCAGTTATCCGGAACCTGGAGCCGGACGCGAGCGGATTTGCTGAAATTTGGCGGGCTTTCAGGGGTAATTCAACCTCTGAACGACGAATATCACATCCATTTGGCCTGGAAGTACCTCGCGCCCGCGCCACAGACTTTAGTGATTTGGAGCATTCTGGCGCCGGTGCCCGTGGCGAGGGCGCCCAAGCGTTTCCAGGGGCCGAAGCAGGGTTGATATTCGTGTCAGGAGGCATCGAACTACTCCTGGGCCCACAAGTTTTCAGCGGATTGGTGATCTAGCGGAACTTAGTGCAGCCGGTCGCTACGGCGCAGTTTCGCGGAGAGCGGATGTGTATTGCGTGTTCAGCGAGATCGAATACCCTAGAACCCAACTTTTCAGCCAAATCTGCCCGTAGTAAAAAAAAAGCCATCAAGATTGCGCCCGTGTGTCGAAAGATGGGGGTAGCAATAATTGAACAGTGCCGAGTATTTTCATGACTTACTGTAGGTGAATCACGTCTAATTGTTTGTAGTGAAGTTGTTGCGTCCATAAGGTCCCAATGCTTACCTTGAATAAGAGCATCATTTCTACTGGTTGTAATCTTGATAATGAAAGAGGATAGGATGTGCCCTATAGAAAAAGGAGCGCTAGCACCAGCGTTACTGGTGGGTGTAGAGAGTAGTGCTAGGGCTGGGCCACACCCTAGCATTCTTCGCAAGAGGAGAGGATATCGCTAAACACTGGTACTATTAGGTTGTCCGGAAAGTTCTCAGCGTTTTAGGTGTTTCACTTTGAACGATCGTAACATTTGATTACTAATCGCGGGTTTAATTGAAATAGGCACCATTCCGATCAGCCCACACTTTTGCCAATTGGAATAGCCAATTCGAGGAAATCCATCCAAAGTGGAAAAACTGGGTGGGAAAATCACGAAATCCACTAAGGCTTTTTTGCCTGGTCCTGATTGATGAAGTATTTTTCAGCAAGGGAAGTTCTGAAAATGTTTGAAAAGGTGATAGTCGGTCGGTTGGCGAAAGGTCTGAAGAATATGGCGCCGTTTGAGGTAGAACTTCAACCCCCAATTCGTTCAATTTATGGATAGTGATTTGTGAAACGTGTGGGCGGGCGTTGTCATGCAAAGGAATCGGACCCTTTTTTGATAAGTGTTGGCTGCATCTGACAAATTCGGTACATTTGGTCGGTTTGTTCACAGTAGGGTTCTGCTGTGATGGTTTGGCCTGGTGATAAAAGTTATAGTGGATCACAACAGCCGATGACCACCAAACCGTGACCAGAATCTTTTTTTCGTGAGGGTTCGGCTTTGAAAATTACCTCGGTGGTTCGTCAAATCCAACCACTGTCCGGAACGTCTCCTGTTATCATACATGATCCATTTTTCATCACAGGTGACAATTCGGTCCAAAACGGGTCAATTCTTTTGCGCAAAAGCAATGCAGAAGGAACCTCGAGACGTGCCGATTCCTGCCGGTCACTCCGATTGTGGGGCACCCAATTGTCGAGTTTTTTCACCTTCCCAATGCGTTCCAGACCATCTGCAACAGTGGATTTGCCAAGGCCTAGCTCTTCTGCTATCTCTCGAACTGTTTGGGATGGGTCGCCTCCAAAATCCCCTTAAAATCCTCGTCAGATATTGCTTTAGGTCGACGCTATGAGGTTCATCTTCAAGGCTGAAATCTCCAGAACGAAATTTGTTGAGCCATTGCCGCACAGTGCTTTCTCTAGCACTATTGGGCCCCACACCTGGTTAATTTGTTGAGCTGTTTCGATTGCGGATTGCCCCAATTTATAGTCGAAGAAAAAATCGTCCGAAGTGCTCTTTTCACATGCTTGAAAAAATCTTGAAAAAAGGGGGTTTATCAAGCAATGGTGAAACGGCAATTATACCATCAGATAGCGCAAGAAATTCTCTACAGGATGTGCTACTGACAAGCAGGAGGTCGTTCAGGCCGCAGGGTGTGGGTGAGCTTTTTCAAAATGGTCTTGTGCATATTGTAGGGGCACATACGAGGACCAGAAAACTGAGGTTCGTTTTCGCTGCGCGCTTCTACGAATAAAAAAAAACGTAAAAAATAGGTCGATGGTTCGGATCCCACCGAGGACAAAATTTTGCTTTTCTACAATTTTTCATTTTTTGGATCCATGTTTGTCTAAATAATTGCTCCTAATAAAAACATTCACGATGAACTGAACAATCCTATTTTTATGGAGCAAAACTGCTTTTTCGTTCGAATTCGTTAGTATGCACAGACTCAGCTCTTCGGCGCTATGCCGGTGTCAGATGGCACTGGAACCGAAAATAAAGTCTAGAATCGTGATCAGGACTGTCGATTACCCCTAGGAGCAAGTTTTGAGCGAAAAATTTTTTTTGACTTTTTCGGGTTGTAGGTGGCCGACCATTTGGTCGGCAGTGTGAGCGGAGTCTCACATCTTCGTAACAGCGATGAAGTATCGTTGACGCTACGGACCCCGGACAACCCAATAAGCAAATCCAAGAAGGTCAAAACAATTGTTTTGACCGAAAATTCGTTTTTAGTGGTAATCAGTGGCCCTGATCACAAATATAACACCTATTCTTGGCGTCCACGCAATTTGGCGACAGAATAGCGCTGAACGTTCCCTACATTGGGTGTACATAACGAATTCAGTGGAAAGAAGATGTGGCCCCAAATTGTCTATAATTGACACCACTTACTTACTTTAATAACTTAAGTTACTAAATTCGCAATCAGATCCACTGTATAGCCTATGAGGAACAACGTCCAGCAACAATCTTGTTCAATGGTGCGTGAAAATCGAAATAGTTGAATAGCACTGACTCATGAGGTACAGCTACTCGGAATGTGCCCATAAATGGCAAATATCCGAGTTATATTCATGCGCAGACAAAATGGAAGCGAGAACAGCGGAAATCTTAAGAACTGCAAAAGACACAACGCAACGGGCAGCGAACCATCAACCCCACCCTCACTGTCCGATTGCGAAACCTCCACACTATCCGCTAGGCCATCCGATGCTCGACTGTGCTAGCGCTCTTATCGTTGATGAAACCATTGCAAGAAGCCGTTCACCCTTGAGCACATGAATGACCCAAGCTAGCTCACTTTACGCGGCGATTTTTCGCTTCGATTCAAACGGCCCCTTTATAAGGACCCCCACTCAGCAACTGGTCAAAGTTGCAAGTGACCTACGCCGCATAGAGGCCCAGAACGAAGCAGATTCCAAGATTTCTTTTCACTCGTTTTTTACCTTTCCTGGAAGCGCGCAGCGAAAATGAAGCACACTTTTCAGGTCCTTGCATGAGCCCCTACAATATGCAAAAAACCGTTTTCGAAAAGCGCACCACGCCCTGAACGACCTCCCTTGGAAATTCTCTACAGGATGTGCTACTGAGAAGCAAGGCAGAATGAGTTTTTAATCAGCAGTGAATGTACAAAAAATAGGTGCACAAAACGCTGAGAACTTTCCGGACAACCTAATAGCATCTTGCCCTTTCCGTTGGCCTTCCGAGTTCACTCAAATTTCTGTTCTCCTAATGTGATTCGTCAGAGCTGGGAAAAAACTTGAAGACTTGGGAAATCGGCTGATACTTGCAATTTTTATCTGGTCCCTGACTGTAACTTACCCTTTGTTGCTTCATAGCCCATGAGAGAAGGACGTCGCCCATCAAATGCTGCTTTTCGTCTTCGAATACAACGTACATGTTCTCGCTAGTGTGAAGTATCCTCTGTAATCGTCATCTTTCATTCAACAATTAAACATTCATTGAATGTTCAAAGAGACATTTTGCGGTGAACAGATGGGCGGAGACCCACGACCGTTGTGCCTTCATCACTAGAGCGCCCCTTGCTCTAGAGCATGTTGGAGGAGAGGACACCAATGAGAATGGCCCAGTGGTTATGAGCCTTTGCACCCAACCCTGCTTTATGTGTACTGCATTCCCTAGGCCGCGCGCTGCGTAAAATTCTTGCTAAACCAGGGTACATCATTGTTTGGGGATTTCGGTCGAGTCCGTACGCCCCCTCCCCCTCCCCCCCCTTTGTGGGGTTGGTACGACCCCCCCCCCCTTCAGCCCTCTGTCCCTCCTCATCGAGCTGTCGAGCGGGCGGGAAAAGCCGCGAGGGAAACCAAAGTTTCTCGAAAATTTCTCTACTTTTTCCCAGAACTTTTGCTGTCTACCGGGGGGCAAGCATGCCCCCCCCCCTTTTTTTTACAACGTCCCTAGGCCGCGCGCGTGAAGCGAGAAAAGTTGACTGCCGAAACAAATTTTTCTCAGCCCTATACCGCCCCCCCCCCGCGACCAAATACCCCTTTGGGGATTCCCCAACAACGAGGTGCCGTGTGCTAAACATGCGAACGATATGCTCGTCAATCGTCATTAGACTAGCGCGCAATTCGCGCGAGACGTCGCTCGCGGCGCTTTACGCTAAGCAAGTCTATGGCAAAGGACATACACTTCCTGGCTCTTTCTATGATTATTTTCTACTCACATTAGGGTGTATTACGTTGATAAATAACAAAAAGTCATGAAACTGTTTTAATAACAAGAATAATAATTCAACGGGTAGATTACATTCATAACAAGTCTCAAAAAAATAATCAAACTAAATTGAGAAATAAAAAATAATTGGACCTGATCGATGGTTGAATGGGTGCCCAGTAATGCGAAATAGTGAAAAAACGGGGCGAAATGGTGGGAAACCACGAAATGGGGGCTTTATTTCTTCGCTGCACTGCGGCAGTGGACGAGCGAACGGCTGGGGCGGGCGCTGCTTTGGACGAGTCTACCGATTGAACCGTTTACTGCTGGCAAAAAGCCAGCAGTACGTTCTACGTCGCTCTACGTTACACTACATTACACGTAGGCACGGGCGGTCCACAACGGCACGTCCTCGTGCTGTGATGCTATACGTCAA